TCCTGCGACTATCGTTTTTAAGCTCATCATTGCAACTACAGCACGCACGCGCATGTGTTATGTTGACTCGACTAAAAACGAAACTAGGGCAGTAGATTAAAGGGCACCGACGGAAATTACAGAACAGGGCAAGGCAGGTGACTGCCGTCGGTCGGGTTGGATTTTCAGGGGCAGTACGGCGATTGATAGGGGCACCGACAGCAATTGCCGTCGGTGCCGTCGGTTAATTCGAGCCCTGATCATCATGATATTATTATGTCATATGTACACAAGCGTCTAAACAGAGGAATTGCTCCGACCTGTGATTGGAGGATAAGAATAGATTTCGTGACGTTTATGACAGTTAATGAGGAAGGGAGAGGATTCCAATACGGTATGACAGAAACAATTAAAGAAGCCATACTTAAAGGGATCCTTTGAAGATGGTACGTGTGTCGAAAGCAATGATCACGCTCAGATGATCGAGTCCTATGAACAGGCTTCATCAAGCAAGAGGAAATGCCAATCTTCACCTAGGCTAACCATGATAAATTTTATGACAGATTATAACTTATAACAAGTTTAACATGGAGAAAGCAGGCACAAAGAGGCGGCCAATCAAGTTTAGCCAAAACAACATCAGAACTATCATGATAGTTTTTGGAAACCCATCTCAGAGCTTAATGCTGAATGGCATCCAATTTAAAACAGTTCTGAAGTGTATAGGGTCACCAGCCTGGCGAAGCATATTCTAATATGGGGAGAACTATAGTTTTAAAAGCCAGGGACCGAGTTTTTGAATCAGCAAAGCTATGGTTACAAGCTAAAATAATTTAAATATGGTTTAATTATGTGTAACAAGGCTTTCGATTGGATAAACAGTTATAATTGTACTGCATGCAGTGAAAATAATTATTTCTGAGTACAATGGCCAAGCATATTACACATTGCATTGTTATGATATGCTATTCTATGCTATGCTATGTCAGTCTTAACTTTATCTTATGTTAACTTAGTTGTTAGGTTATGTTAATTGTTACGTTATGTTCCTTTGCGTTACGTCCCGTCATGTTTTTATACCAGTTATTCCAGTTTTTATACTAGAGATGTAGTGACAAGATAGTGCATCTGCATGTTGCTAACTAGCTGTATAGATATGAAGTCAATGTCTCACTCACTAGTTTAACCCTACACCGAGTTTACCTATTTACGGACACTGAGGATGGTCACTCCCAGAATGTTTTACATCCTCAGTGGTTTTCTTATGTCGCCGTTACTGGATATACTGGTGCGCGGTCTGACCTATGAGAAATTCAGTTTCCCAATGTTGGGAGCTAAGAGGTTTAAGAACTCGTACTGCCTTAGCTGATGCTTGAACTTGTAGCATTTCCAGTAAAATATTGAGCTTGTAATCACTTGACCATCGAGCTCCCTGTAGTCACAATAATTCAGACCCACATTGGTATTTATGCATACAAAGTGCTTGCTGGTGGTAACATGAAGTTCACATATTTGTATTATTAGAGAGTAGAGGTACGTACAAGTATAGGAGAGTACATGAATAGGCAGTTTCATGGCAATATACATTACCGCAGCGCAGTGGAGGCTATAGTTCTAGAGCTAACACTAACAGCACACATGTGAGTCAGAAAATTTTCACTTAGCATCAGCTTTCCCATTCATAGTTTCATTTTCAGGCCACATAATTTTTCCAAGAGTGTTTGGCCCCAGTGGTTGGAGTAGGAGTTGTTGCTGAATACCAATAAATTCCAACATGAGTGACCATGAAGGTGACGAGGAGGAGAATTCAGCGAGCTGCCAACCTTCAATGACCTTCATGGAGGCGTATGATGACACATGCAGCACAGTAGGGCAGGCTGCTCGGACCGGCAACCTCCCTGAACTAAAGGTAGCACACCTGCGTGGCAGTATGTACACTCGCATGTGTCGGTTTAGTTATAGTGTTATCATAGTTTACCCACTACTGCTGTAGCGA